TATATCAGGCTAAAAAAATGTGTAAATCCAGTTTTTTCATTTATTTTCTACTTGTCCAATTCAGGGTCTCAGTGGGGCAGCAGCCTATCCCAGCTGTTAGCGAAACCTTGGATTGATCACCAGTCTATCGCAGGGACAGTACAGACATGCAACCCCACATTCACACCTAGGACCAATTATGGGAGACTTGCAGAAAACAAATGCATGCATTGAAAGACACCAGCTAATCAATGGTATCAAATCTGGCATCTTTTGGGGAGGCTACCGTGCTGACCAACTGTGCCACTGTAACTGAACAGTACTTTTGAGCCATTAAAACAGTAGCTATCAGCAGCACCACCCATCCAAAATGAAAATATTACAGCCTAATTAAGGGAAAAGTTGTCGCAGTACTAACCAATAAGATAATTTTACCTTGTAGTTTAACTCAGAACTCACATCACAGAATCAAAGGGTTGTGTATGTGGTGTCCAATAAAATACTCAAACTCAACAGAAATTTCTTGATTTATTTGTTTCGTTAGAAAGTGAACATGTTTAACGGTTGGACTTGGCAACTCTCTCCAACTCGTCCTTCTTCTTGATGGCATAAGAGTTAGATGAACCCTGCAAAGAGAGAGAAACTTAAGTTTAACACGCCTCAGAACAGTTTCTCATATGTTTCAGCTCTGATCACTAAAACGGTTCCAACATAATTGGCAGGATGTAATCAGAGTCCACTAAGTCTGTTACCTTAGCTGCATTGATCAGCTCATCAGCCAGGCACTCAGCAATGGTCTTGATGTTCCTGAAAGCAGCTTCTCTTGCTCCCGTGCACAGCAGCCAGATGGCCTGCAAGACGAGACGGAGCACACGTTAGTGAGGTGAAACGGGTTAAACTCCAGAGACATGACCACAGGCCAGCAGTGAAATGTATCTGAGTTGGTGATTGGCTGGGCCACGACAGACTACAGCCAATGAATAAGCAAAGACTTTTAATCTACGAGCACTCTAGCACACCAAGACAACAGAAAATGTCCAGGCGTGACTCTAGCCTCGTTTAACACATCAAATACATGAAAAAGCAGTGAACCTTTTCTAATTTATTTCCATGCTAAAACTGATGAAGATGGTGTTGGACAAAGAGGTTTTTCTGCATGGAAGCATTTTTTTGGTACTTCTGTCCTTTTTGACAGAAGGACACTGGCACTGATGATAATCAAGTATTTATTTACTTACACTGGAGAGGCTATTAATGAAATTGTTAAAAATAAGACTACCACAATCTAAGAGACTAACTGCCTTTACTGTATGCTTGTGGGTCTCAAACTCTTTACGCCCAACAAGGTGAGAAAAGACTGAACCTCGCAAATTCTAACAATCACTAATAGGAGGGGTTAAAATGTTCAGCTAAGTGAAGCCAAGCTGAACTTCTCAGTTTAGCTTCGCTTCATATTTTCTCTTTTGATCTTTCCGCTTGAGAACCACTCTTGTATGCAGACCTGACAGTAATAAAGGTCATGTGCAAACCAGGCAAAAAACTGAACAAGCATCAAACTTTACATGTCCTAAAAGATGCATTAAAGTCATCTAGTCACATGATTAGACATCAACAATTACGTGGAGGTAGAAAAAAAATTGTGCGTTTGTTACCTGGTTGACTCTGCGGAGGGGTGACACGTCAACAGCCTGCCTCCTGACGGTACCAGCACGACCAATACGGGTGGAGTCCTCACGAGGTCCACTGTTGATGATGGCATTGACCAGGACCTGCAGGGGGTTCTGGGAACAAAAAGGTTAAGAAGATAATTTTTTTAAAATCAATCCATAACATGTAGTGACAAAGATCCATAAGTCTGGATCTGAAAGCTGACACAATGTGCTGTTAATCCTTGTGTTTGCTCCCAATTTTCTTACTCAAAGTTTAAAGCCAATATCACATTTACCCTTAAATATGCAGATTAACTCTGGACCCTTGTCTGCTTGGCAACAACCACTGCAAAACTCACTAAAAATAATAAACAATCCAGCAACTGTCAAAAAAAATGTTTTCAATGCTGAAATACTGTCTTAAAACCCAGATACAATTCAAATTTTAAACATTTTCTCAGCACGCTGTGTCTAAATTAAGTTATTTATATTTTAGTTATTATTGAAAACTGCTCATACCACAGTAAGATCCTGTTCTCTGTAATCTTCAATAGTGTTTTTCATAGCATAAGGAATCATTTATTTTCTGTAGTTATAATTAACAATCTCTTTAATAGTGACACATACTATAGCAGTGCTATGAAAGTACCTCTCCAGTCAGCAGGTGGATGATCTCGAAAGCGTGCTTGACGATGCGAACGGTCATCAGCTTCTTGCCGTTGTTGCGGCCGTGCATCATCATGGAGTTGGTCAGACGCTCCACGATGGGGCACTGAGCCTTGCGGAAACGCTTGGCGGCATAACGTCCTCCAGAGTGTGGCAGGTACTTGGCGTACTTCTCTTTCACAGCAATATAATCCTGCAGCGAAGAATGACATCTTTAAGCATCATTTTCTGTTTTAAGTTGAAAAACAGCATCGTTAAAGGCAGATATTGTATCTGAGCCGGTGATTGACTGGGCCACATTAGACTACAGCCAATGAATAAGCAAAGACTTTCCCTCTGCGAGCACTGTAGCACACCTGGACAACAGGTGAGTGTCCAGGCGTGACTCTAGCCTCGCTTAACAGCACAACAGTGAATCTTTCACACTGCCGCTTACCTGCAGGGAGATGTCGTTGATCTGGACATCATCGGTGCTCCACTTGCCGAAGAGCTTGATCTCTGGGGTCTCAGCCACAGCGGGGGCAGTCTCCCAATCGGTCACTGAGGAAACACCACAACATTACTGGCACATTGTTTTAAAAATTATATAATTTCAGGACAATAAATGACAGATTCGTCTTTTTTCCCCCAACATTTACACGTAAGAGTTTGGGTTTGTGAAGGTGACCCTTACTGCAAATCTGTGTCCTCTCGATTACATTTCTATGTGACATAAGTCTTATAACGAATCAGTGTATAATAAATGACCTGAAGACTACTGTAGCTTGACTGAGCTGCTACTCAATGTTACGTTCAAACAGAGTGACGTTAGCTTTCCAGCAAAAAGCAGAAAACCCCACGATTTGACACTTTAATAGGAAGCACATTTATTCATATTAATAGGAGATTGAGTGACTGTTTGGTCAGATTTAGCGAAGCAATGACAGTCACAAGTACAGCGAGGCCGGAGATGAAGCCTGCATCACGCTAACACTAGCAAATTTGCGCCACAGCGGATTCTACGCTTACAGACGTCTATAAATGGGCGTAGGTGCGCGTTTAAATTCAGCATCAGTTAATTAGTAGGGAAGAAATTAAGTTTAATATAGACATTTTTTGTGAATTAGTGTTCTGAATTTGACATCTATCGGAGCCGCTACTCAACGTGCAGAATCCACATGTGCTACAGAGCTAGTCGCATGCTAACGCTCAGCGCTGTTGTGCTGGTACGGAAACATTCGGAGGGAATAAAAACGCCATTTCGACTAAACTGAAGTTTTCTGTACGAATTTCCAGAACAATGGAAATCCACAGTGATTTTGGATACGCGTCCGTCCCTTTTTCACGATTTGCGAAGCAAGTAAAAAGTAAAATTTTCACTCACTTGTGTCTGCCGTTCTGTACCACACTTCTCTGAGACGGAAAAGGGCCTTTTCGGGGCGCCGTGTACAGATATCCGGTCCGGCGTTTGGCTGCTTCCGGCGTACAAAGGCTTATGGGAAACGTAGTCTTTTTTTATGTCATTGAACACAGCAAACTCAACGTATCCCAACAACCAAACAGAATACATTAATAAAGCTGCTGCTGGCCTTTTAACTTTCACAATTGCTGTAAAAACAAGCAGTTATATTACATCATATTTTACATTATTTAGTTTTACTTCTTTTTCTGTTTAAAAATATGTTTTAAATTAATTTCGATTGATTATATATATTATATATATATATATATATATGTGTGTGTGTGTGTGTGTGTGTGTGTGAGTGAGTGTACATAAGGCAGAAATACATTTTGTAGTCTAACAAACTGGAAAAGTCTGTATTTGGTATGACCACCTTTATTCTTCATCTCAGCCTGAAGCCCTTTTAGACAAGCTTTCTTGTCATTTCCTTAAGTAGTCTTCAGGAATATTTCTCCAGGTTTCTTGAAGGCTCTTATTTGGATGTTGCTGCCTTTGTTTTCTGTCAGGAGAATCCCACAATGTCTCAATGTTGAGGTCCAAACTCTGGGGAGGCCAGTCCATGACTGATAATGTTCCACTGTGTGTGTTGTTTTTTTGTTTTTTTTTAACAAGTGTGCTTTTAATGCACTGGCAGTTTTTTGAGGGGTCATTTACATGCTGAAAAATGAAGCTCTTGACAATCAGATGGACAATCAAAATTTGACCATACTGTTCTGTATTCATATTCAATCAATTTTGACAAGATTCCCAATACCACTGTCTGAAAAGCAGCCCGAGACCATGACAGAGCCTCCACTGGCTTTACACTTTGCTTTAAACACTCATTGCAGTACCTCTCTCCTGACCTCCTCCATACAGATAACAATTTGACCCAAAAGAAATTTTTTTTTTTTTTACTGACTCATCTGTTATGTGCGAGAATAACAGTGGTTCATCCAGTAAATTTTGTGCATTTTTGTGCTTGAATGACTCACAGGTCAGGATTAAGCAGCTTAACAAAAAACAAACAAAAACATTCATCTGGAAATGATCAGGTACAAGTACTGGATTGCAAATGAGTCAAAAAGCAGCCGATTTCCAAAGAAAAACTCTGCAAGTCCTTCAGAAAGCCTGGAGAACTATTGTTCAAGAGCCTTTAAAAAAATACAATAAAGTCTGGGTCCTTGGAAGCAAAATGTACAGAAAAAAATCATCTGGTTCACAAGACCAGTTTTGGCTTTATTTATGTGTGTTGTTAACTGACAGGACAAAGCACAAACACAAACAATGCTCAAAACTGTCTTTTATTGAAGACCTGACAGCATTTGACACCTGTTCATTTATAACACAAACACGGTAGAAACTGTTAAAATAGTACTTTATGTTTTAGGATTTAAAAAAGTGTCCATATCCACATTTATTATTTGTTAGTAATAAGAAAATTAAACAGATAGAAGGGATGTCCCCCTTCTATCCACATCTGATGCGATTAGGTCAGCTCTGGCTTTGCACGAGCATACATGAACAACAGATGCAATAACATTAACATAGTAGCTTGAACACAGATAAAATTATCCCTATCTTAACAACATCCCTTCTCTTTACAATGTGCAATTCATACTTAACCATTAAGTTTTTTTTCTGTTTGATCTTACAAATACACGCTCCTCTTTTTGTCCTTTTGAGAAATATAAGAACGACAAGTATAAATTAAAAGTGTTACAAATGAATCCCTTAAACAACAGAAAAGAAGGAACATGAAGGTTGCTAAAAGGCCTGAGATATCTAAATGTGATGGGAGGTTCGGTGGACCAGTAAACACTAACATATCACTGCCACTCTCTAGTCTTATTATGCCCAATGCCACCCCTCCCTATCATTGTTTTTAGCACCGTCACTAAAGGCAGTGTGTCATAGCACTTTGGTAATGGGCATGAAATACTGAGGCATGTAGGGGGGAAAAAAATTAAGGCTTCATCTACAAAAGCGATGGAGTAAAGGTCCAAAGCACTGCATGATAGTTATAATAAACTGATGATAAGATCGGAGGCTCACTCTGAATTAGACACCGGGGTTAAAGATGGAGGAATGAAAAACGTATAAATGACTCAACGCGAGACGAGCGGGGCAGTAAGTCTCAACATGTAGACGACTTAACGTCGCTCAGGCACTGTCGTGTTTGTGTGGCGGCTTGGAGGTATGTTTGATGGAGCAGTCAAACATACAGTCTGATACACTGCATGCTTTTAAAGTGATAAACTAATATTTTTATTCAAATAAAAAGGGGCATGCCGCCAACTTTGCTGATACAGCAACACTGGTGAGCTCAGCTGGACAACTACAGCTCACTTACCTCAAAGCCCGCATTAAAACTGGAGGTTTGCCATGAAACAGGCAGGAAGAACGTAACAACAAACTGGACTCACACTTGTAAATAAAATTCAACATATCCTTAATCCTCTGCTACGATGACTGCTAGCACTCTTGTCCCTTGTAATGGTACAATGAAAAATTGTTGGAGTGCTCCTTTAAAGTCAGAAAAGCAGCTAAAACCCCTTCTGACAGCCATCACCAAACAGGCAGCGATGTGCTGGATTTCTCCAAAAGCAACAATGTGGTTTTTTTAAAAATAAATACATGAGGAGAAGTGTAACAATTTGGGAAATGTGCTTTTTTTCCCCTTTATGAATCAAGACTTGGTCGAGATAATGCTACAGGTTAGATTATGGTAAAGGTTTCTCCAGAAAATCGTATCCTTTCAAGCAGTTTGAAAAGATGTATGGAAATCCCTGATCCCTGTACTGATACAACCCACCCAAACAAGAACAACACGTGCACTACAAGCCGAAACGACACCGCAGACAGTATAAAACATGAACGTACCTCCAGGGTTGGATAAATTAATTCAGTTCTGAAGCTTTTATTGTTTAAAAATGTTTAGTTTTAGTTTTTATTAGTTTCAATCTATGTAAACATCCACAGTCTCAGTAAACATGTCCGACCATTATCATGTCCTCTATTTTTTTAAATTAGTTTTAGTTCATTTTATTTTATTAATATGTAGTTTTAATTTTTAGTTTAGTTTTAGTTATAACAACCTTAGAAACGTCCATCTTTCATACCATCTACGTATGACGGTGAGGGCCGGACTCACGTCGTTCGCAAAGGTGACATCAGTGGGAATAAATGGAGAGCGTTAGCTCAACATAGCAGCTGAAAGCCACTAGCCTGGATCTGTGTTGTCATTAAAAATTTATTAATGAATTGCATTAAATCTGCCTACCAGCACTCTTAAGCCCACTGAATAACATGTTAAATGTTTTTTGGTTTTTTTTGTTAATGCACCCAAAAATTAAATTGTGATGGTGATATTTTTGGGGTTTTAAAATGCTGGCAACATTATGTTGGTAGCTGGACTCCAGGAAATGTCTGCAGATTAACCATTCCTCCAAATGTTTCTTACATTTATAGAGTACATATTATTTATTAAAGCAATCTGCAGTGTGATACTTTCTACTCTCCTTAACCTCATTTTTATTTTGTATTCTGTTTGTTTTGTTTTTTTAAAGCACTGTCTATAACACAAAATTTGAATATAAATCAGCAAAGTATCCATCTATTGATCTATCAATCATGACTGTAGCCTTCCTGCAGTACCTTCTTAGCCCACTAGTAGTCGCCACTAATAGTTGCCAATATCATTTTACACTTACTTTATTCAGACGAATAAAATAAACAAGTTAGTGAGTGAAGTTAAAAGTGCTGGTTTTGTCCTCGTCACACACAAGCAGGCTAGATGTTTCCCTTTATTTCCATTATTTGTGCAAAGCTAAGCTAAGCTGCTTCTGGTATAGCCTAACATGTATTGTACACATAAAAGAGAGAGAGGTAACACAATTTTTCCCCTAATGTTAAACTTTCTCCTTAAATGTTAAATAAGATTAAAATGAAAGACGGTTTAAAATAAATCCTGACATCACCAAATGATCTTTCACAGCTGTAATCCCCCCAAAATATCAGCTCATGTCCTACAGAAGAAACTACAACCGAGGCTGTAGAGGTCGACCGTTTTTGTGTGTTTTTCTGTGTGTCCGTCTGCATGTGTGTGCTGTGAAGAGGTTTTGTGCTACACCAGCCACTTCTCCATGCATGTATGGAACACGGTCTCGTTGGAGTGCCACCAGACGTGCTGAACGCCGGGAACAGAGCAGAGGATCAGATCTCCGCGAGCCGCCAACGTCTTCAGCCCGAAAACATCTCTCAAATACAGCTGGAAAAAGAAAACAGAGCACGAGGGAGTCATTAATAAATCTACCGCCTCCGATTTTTGATGGGGTTGTGGATGTATTTTTCTATTCTTTAGAAACAAAGCACATGCCTTGCTCCATAAATGAGACACAGATAAAAGATGGCTCTGCTTTATGACGGATCCATTAACGTGTCAAAGACATCAGAACAAAGTGTTTTTTTCTTTATTTTGTTTTTGTGTTAAACTGAAAAACATTTTAGTTTCTCACGATTTATTCTGGTAAGAATCATGGTTTCTCCTTTTTATATTTTATATATTTATTGATCATTAGATCTCTGCCACAGTATGTCTTTCTCCTGTCTTCTTCCCCTCATCCCAGCTGGTTATGGTTCCTAAGCCTGATTTTACTAAAAGTTTCTTCCTCTTAAAAGGGAGTTTTTCCTTCCCACTATTGCCAAGTGCTCGCTTATTGTTTGATTGTTTGGCGCCTTTAGAGGACTGTTATTGTGAATTAGTGTTATATAACTTATTTCGAATTGAATTAAATGACCTAAAAACAGATAGAAATAAATGAAAAAATGTATTTTCACTTTCACTCACTTCTTGGTGCTGCATTTCAACAACCGTCTCGTTGTCGTCATAAAATCCAAACTGGCTGTAAAGACATGAAAGCAGTGTGTTAGCATCACATGAGAGTCATCAGATCATCCACAGTTACACGAAGCAACATGTCATTGACAGCTGTGACCACAAAGAATAAACTGAAATCCCTTTAAAGCAGAAAATATGATGCAGCCTTGTTTGATCTAAAGTCTTATTTTAATTATTTTAGCACCACAATGAGTTTAAATATATTATTTTTGTAAAATTTCGATCTAAATTCATTAGTTGCAACTTTCACAAAGTCCAAAAGTCTTTTAAAGATATCCATGTGTGTGAGATTTCAGGGAAATCAAATCAGAGGATGCTGTCACCTCGACTGCCAGGGCGTGATGACTCCATCGTCCGGTCCTCCAATCAGTACCAGCTTTTTGATTTTGAGGAAGTTCTTCTTCCATTCTGCAGATGGAAAATAAAACACACCTCATGGCTACTGTGCACTTTAACTGAGTCATTTTGATATAAGTAATTACTCGTTACACTGAGTAATTTTTGATAAGGGTTGTTGTTGGTTGTTCTTTTTCTGACCTGTTGAATTTGGGTTGGGTCTCTCACTGTTGAGCAAAGCCAGATAATCACTGCTGTTGACATAGAGGTCTCTGTGGTGGGGGTCTGCAGAAAGGTGAAAAGCAAACATGATATCAAACTGCTCGTTTATGATTTTAAAGTTCGAAAAGGCAGGAAAAAAAAGAAATTTGACGACTTCAAAATCTGTGAGAAAAAAGTAATCCTGGAGTCTCACCGTTCCAATAGTTGCAGATGGATATCATCTGACCTAATGCAGTGTAACAGAAGTGGTAGAGGTTTGACTTCACAAACTGAGGGAAGAGGTACTTTAAGTAGTCTGTGTCTGAGGGGAAAGAAAGAGGAGCGAGAATGATGACCAAGTCAGAGAATAAATCAGTCCACAGCACGATGAAGTATTTCTGCAGTCTTTCTCTTCACATTGCTTCACAGCTTTCTGCTAACTGTGTCAGTCTGCTGACTGATGCTGGAAATAGCTGCGATCTCTGGCTTGTCACCAGAGCAGCAAGAGTGATATAAAGCAGTAAGGCTTTGAGCTAAAATTCTCTTAAAAAAAAACAATAACTCGCCCACTCTGAGGTTCCCTATAAAAACAGGTCCAACAACATCAGTCTTACTGACTCATTGTTGGGTTTTTACTCCCTAATTTACGGTTTTGCTGATAATTATCAGGCAGCTTCTCATCGTGAGATCATGAGAGTTTTCATTTTACAGCTGTCAGATATTGACACTGGTTCACTAACAGGGTTTTAGTAGATTCTCAACTGAGAAATACTGACTGCATTTAAAACACGCTCCTGAGCTAAGTTCTCCATGTTGGACCCACCTCCGTACTGCCCGGCTTGAGGTGAGGACAGGGAGATGAAGGAGTGGACGTTGTGGTCAGACAGAGTGGAGAGGATCCCTCTGCAAACCAGACCGCCTGTAAGAACATCAACAAAGACACATGTTTGTGCAGCTTTTCAGAGAGCAAGTCCACCTTCCAACCTTCTCACTGAATGTTATATAACCCACTTAGATAAAAAAGTGCCTCACAGAGCAGTGACAGACAGATAACTGGTCAGCTGACTGTGCGTATGTCAATTTTCCAGTGCTCAAAGGTCTTATATCCAGTTATTTTGATTGAAAAATCCATTTTTGATCATTAATTCGTCAAACAAACCTGAACAGCGTCAGCAAACCACTTCAAATTTTTTTGACAGGCTAATTCAACTTAGGAAGTCAAAATCTCTTTGCAAATCAACACATCTGTTTAGCAGAGAAACATCTGTTCTCTCGTATTAACACATGTTTTAACCTTGTATTATTGTGACATTTTAAACTCTAACAACACCTTTATTGTCGTTTATTGTGCATTTCACTGCATCCAGTAAGTTATTTTTAGTCTGTTTTATTTCACTTTGTTGAATTTATTGAGCCATTTTACTTTATAGAGACACTCTATTGTGTTACAGTCAGCTTTTTACATCAGGTTCTGTACTTTATTTAGAATTTTAGTTTAAATATGTTTACATAAGCTCCTTTTGTGGACTTTATTTAAGCTGACTTGAATGTTGTGACCATTTGTGCTAGAGTCAAAATTTAAACAGTTTCAGAAAGAAGAGGAGATGGGTTTTACAGGGATATTTGGTGCATCGCAGTAGCACAAAGCAATAATAAGGTGCTGCTGTCTGAACACAGGCAGAAATAAATTAACTCTTCAATGGTCTGATGAAGAGCAGCTTTTCCTCTGTAGAAATGTGAAAATTGAAAATAAATCAATATTAATAATTTAGTTAATAAATAAAGTTTGAAGTTGAGCTTTTTGATTTTTCAGTTCTTGGGGTGAAATCTTGTGTGATATCAGGTTTTACTCCTGTCCACAGTTTTTGTTTTCGCAACCGGTTTATTTGAAATATTCAGCGCATTGCACAGTTTTGATTTAGAACCCATCTCACCAACAAAATCCAATAATTACATTTTTCTGACACAAATCTTAACATCGTGGTTAACCGGACAGAGCTTCTACCAGTGAAACTCCGTCTGGTGTCCAGAGATTCTTTAAAGATCTGATCTCCTTTCCCGATCCTCCATTTGCCACCAGCCAGGAGTTTTTTCCATCGTCTGTGATTTCTCAGTGAACATCAGATTACGCACAATTGTCTTGGTGGATGTGTTTCGGTTGAAGTCTGGAGAACCGTCTTCCCAGTTAGTCCACCAGGTTATGTGTGTTATTTCTAGCGTCAATTAGTTTTAATGAGCGTGGATTGGCTTATTCTATTCAGACATGGAGGGGGCTCGCCCAGGGCAGGTTGCACAACCATTCACACCGATTTTCACACCTATGGGCTATTTTGAGTCACGTGTTAACCTGACATGCATCTCTTTGTACTGTAGAGTGGAATTCAAACTCGAGCTAGCAGTAAATTAGTCAGTGTGGCGCTAAGACTTTGTGTCATTTCCTCTCACAAAGATGCTCAAATGCTGAAATACTCGAACGAGGTGTGGAAGCTACTTTTGGCTCGCCACAGCAGGTAGGCCCACATGTTTGAGACACCTTTCCTTACACAATCCCAAAGAAATGCGCGTCTCCTCCCAGGATCGAATGTGTAAACCACTACACCACTGAGCCACTCATGTGATGGTGACAAGTAAACATTCCACAATCAAGATAATGCTTTTCTCATAAAGACAAACTATTTTATCAAGAAGCACACAAAGTCCATGTTTTTTTCTTTTTGGTGTGCTCTCTTTTCACAGAAACATGCTGAGTGAAAAGAATCTCGTTTGCATTACTTGTTCCTCGGGGGGGGGGAATTTACATTGAAATACAATATGGCGTTGCGTCGTAGGAATTTCCAGCAGCTGACTGAAGCAGAAATCCTAAAGCAAAGAGATCATCAAACACTCTTCCTGAAAATAAACCTTCACAGCTAATAGTGTCGCTCTGATATCTCCCTCAGCGAGATTGCCAGAGAAACCATGGACACATAACTGCAATTTGCACTCGCTCACCTTGAGAGTAGCAGATAAAGTGGACCCCATCTGCTGCGTTTTGCATTATTGGGTAGATAGCTGCCTTGAATCCCTCCACCTGTTTCCACATGGGCTCCAGGCTCGCGCCCTTGTCAAACAGGTCGATGACGGTCACGTTTGTCCCTGGATGAGACTGCAGGAGATGGAAGGAGATGGTTTCGCATCATTTAACAGGAAAAACTCACAGGAAGCATGGCGTCTAAGCAATTTGTCATATTATAGCGCTGAACAGCTACAAGAATCAGCAACGTGCCCTCAGTGACTTCAGATACCGGTGCTGTCAGTTATCCTTGAGGATGTTTAAGCTTCTGAATCACTGAACTGCAAATTAACTAAAGCAGAAAAAACAAGGCCTCAGATCCGCTTTCGGTATTTTAAGCCAACCACAAAGGTCTCTTCTGTGGTTTCCAGAAAAAATAAATAAAGAGGAACCTAATGTTGGTTTTAACCTCTTAAAACTCTCCTGACATGTCCAGAGAAACTCCAGAAATATCAACACACAAGTCACATCAGCCAGGTATGAAAGCTTGTTCCCAACGCAGAAAATTTTTTTTTTTTTATCTCAAAATCTTAACTTCTCAGAAAATAACTCAAAATTGAGAAAATTATTTGAAAATCAGTTGAAAGTAACTTAATGACAGTAATAATACAGTAATAATACATCTCTGATCAGAATGGTGTTATATTACAGGACAATAACTTCTCTATAATGAGCCCGTTAATTGTATGATTGCTGCTTTATTTCTACATCAATAAAGCAGAAAGTACTTCATATTAAATCACTAAATAATGTATTACCCTTACCATAAAACTCGCTAACAGTAGATGCATATTGCACGGGTCGGGTCCACGTTTTGCTGATAAACATGTGGTGATATAACCTGTAAGGCCTGCAGGATTTACTGTAAAATACACCTTAACTATCCCCTGAATCAGCGTCTTCGTTAGCCCCGACACTCACCTCGTTAATGAACCGCTGTAAGTTTATAAAATCCCCTGAGCTGTCGAACAAACCGTGCACGATGATTACCGGCTTGTACCCGACCACCGAAGCCCAGAGACACGCACCGAGCAGCGGCCACAGCAGCCCGGCTGCCCCGCTGCTGCTTCTCCTCCTCCTCATCCTCAAGCTGGCACAACCGAAACCCTTCATCACAACTTAAAGTAATAAAGGCGAGAAAAGGTGTTGAAAAAAGTAAAAGCATTAAACTGTTGGGTTTTTGCTAATGTGGCATTATTCTGCGTCCAGTTGTGCTGATTTAGACGATGCTGTTTCACGGCCAGCGCTTCTCAGTGAGAGTGCTCAAAACACTCCAGGAAAAGCAGAAACACTCCACAGCTGGTCCCTGCTTTTTGTTTTCGTTTGTTCCGGTTTTAAATTACAGGTGAAGTGGCCGCTACTGGCGTCATTTCCTGCTTCCGCTCGTCCAATCAGCGGGAAGCAGAGCGACACTGCTCCACAGGGTCACGCGCAGATACAACATAAACAGTAAGAGTTACACCACGACGCAAGTATGTAACATAACAAGCTTTGTTTACTGTTTATGTGCAGCTTTAACCGTGTCTCTCTGATTTTTATCAAATTCATTTAATGCAGGGCTGTGTAACTCAAATATTTTAATGCTTTTAACACAGTCTATTTATTTGTTGCTGCCAATAATGTTATAATAAAAATGCAAATACGGTCTTCTGCTCCTTATCAGCCATCAGCATATCGGGTTAGTTAGCCAGCAGCTGCTTGTCTGTCTAGAACTCAAAGTCCCACAGGACCTCAGCCCTGTTGTTTTCAACCACCTTGGTGGTGTTTCCCATCAGGGAATTCTAGTCAGTATATGGAATGATGTTCCTGTACGCTGTCCCAGCCACCTGGTTGTGCCTCTCAACTTACACGGGTCCAAATCTAACCTTCTGCAACTATATGTTTGATAGTCTCCAGGGCACCTTATCAGTCTTTAGCTTGACCCCTGCCTCTATGGATCTGGTGCTCAAGGGTTGTTCATGCGCTGTCCCTTAGCCTGGCCTTCTGTCCACCAATCTATCTCTGTCTGCCTTTATAAATATTGTAACATTATAAAAAAATAAATGACAGGGAAAACAAGTTTTAAATACGTTTTATTTTTTTAAATAATGTTTCATAAGCATTTCACTAAAAAAGTTTAATACATTTTGTCGACTTTGTGAGTTTCTGCAAAAAATAAAACAAAGTTTTAAAAACCTGAACCGAATAAGAACTTTGGTAGTTAATACGAAGCTAAAACTGGGAAAATGTTTCACTTTACGTAACTATAAAACTACTGATCACGAGAGCCATAATAATATGATGCAAGCAGTTCCCTCTTTCAATGGTGTTTGCTCCTTTGGTGCATACTCCGTTGTAAACTGGAATTACAATTTTACTGTTGCATTCCTCTGACAGTCAGTCAGGCTGCAGTTTACAGGCATGTTTATTCAGTCTGACCTTTGAACTTTGACATAAATCTCAGTCACAACATAAGCATAAATAGAAATAGATAACAAAGAGGAATAATCTGGATGCTAGGCCACACGTACATCTTCATCTTCAATGCTGCTTGACAGACTCTAATGCAGTGTGGAAGTACGATGACCACTTCTCATACACCTCTCCACAAAGCCAGTCCAAATCCTCAAAAAGTGCTCAGCTGGATTAAGAGCTGGTGACTCAGATCATTTTCATACTCTTCAACCCATTCAGTGACCTCCAAGCTTTGGCGTTATGGAAAAGCCTCATGAGTCCAGGCCTGTTCAAAAAGGTTGCCGTATCCCCTCTGCAACTTCATGTTTCCCATTTTTCCCAAATATTTTTTTGCACTTTTATACTTGGATCTGTATTTCTGAGCGTACCATTTATAAGCATATAATTCTGTTATTTAAAGCAGGTTTCATTACCTTAAATTTGTGCAGCCTGTACAGGCCACCCACTGATCAGCTTTATTAATTATGCAGGATCACTTATGGCATGCAGCTTTGACAGGTCTTTCTGCTTTAATTTTAATTTCAAACATTATACGGCCACAGACCCCTTCCCCCCTGACACTGGCCAGGAGTACCATCATCCTTGTAGAAACCACTCACATGACAATGAGATAAACTTATCACTCCAGATAATGTTGTATTGATTTGCAGTGACCCTTACCACTAAGGAGAACTAGGCTAAAGGGAGGTAGTTTGCTGACGTGGTTTGGATCTAGACTGAAGGGGTCAGCTTTTCCTTTTATTCATCAGGTAGTGGTCTGCTATGACGGGTTGCATACACTGTAGTTATTTAATGTACCTTTCATAAAGTAGGCAGCTCAGATGCTCTGCTGATGAGGTTTGTAAAGTTGAGATCTCATTGCGTCCAGATTTAAACATTGGAGGGGGCACCCTGTAGCAGAAATCATCTTGTGTGAAAAACTGCGATTCTGTGATGCCACTTTGCTGAAAAAGTGTCAGATTTTTAATGGAAATCCTCACTCTCATACATAGACAAAAGAATTTGAGTGAGAAATCATGTGAGCACAGGCTTTATTAACCAGTCCTGCAGGTTGAGTGCAGAACAAGATCCTCCAAATAAACAAACCAAAAAAAAAAAAAAATTATGCTTATTCAAAATTCATCTCACGATCAGGTCTATTGTGAGGGTGATGAGGGTGATGTGGTGTTTTTGTGTCTGAACTCGTTCAGACACAAAAACACCACATCAACCTCAATAATTCCTCTCCTTTGGTCCATTCAAACCACCTTTTCACCTAGAAAAAAAAAATCCAAATTTCCCATTAATTCTGATGAAAAAGTGAAATATGAAAGGTTGAAGGACACAGGTCATCTCACAAGTTGTACAAAGGAGTGCACGCGTAGACGTTTCTGATTAATGCTGGAGTGTCACATTGAGTTGTTTCGCTTTCACTGAGAGACGCTGTGGAATTCGATGCTTCGAAATGCAACGATGACGATGCAAATTTGACGGCTTAGAAAAATATTTATCGCTTTACCCAAACTTTAAGCAACAAAAGCACCCGGGAGCTGCAGAGATCTTTTCCAGGTTCTCACACAATTAAATGCTCGAGTGAAGTGTGAGTGGCAAGCATAACCCAAAAAGAAAAAAAGCACCCCTACAAAAGTTGTACAAAATATTCTTTAGAGACAATGTTCGGTATCTCGCTGCTGGATGCTGTAGCAGCAGCTCTACACAGTAGGCTGCAACATCTCCTGCAGATGACACATGGTGTCCCTCAAAGTGCGAGCGAGTCTCTCTGCGTTAGTGTCCTCGCAGCAGTTAAAGGCCGTGATGGAGAAGTGGATGTGGTCTGCCTGAGGGTTGTAACAGACGGCATAGCCGTCAGGAACGAGAGGTCCGAAACACATCACACTGTCCGTATTGTTTGCAGGCATCTGAAGAGACAAGACAGGAGGGAGATCAATAATGGAGCTGGGCACACGTCATTAAAACACACACAAATCCTCAAATCTGAGTCTCAAAGTTCACTCTTCATCACGAGAACACTAAGGCTCACCAGACAGCTGATCTAGAGCTTCCAGTTATATCACATGATCTGTACAGATGCCAAGAGCTCAAACTCACATTCTGCTGTTCTCATTTCATATCTACAGTGTGTTTTTAGCACCTACATTTCCATGCGAGCTGGGCCGTGTTAACTTTGTTGACCAATAACATTCATCACAGTTATCATCAACAACCTCCTTTATGACTAAAATTAAATGATAAATTTGCCATCACAATTTATGCTCCAACTGGTCAAAATCCACATAACCGGTGATCATAGCTGCTAACTGGAAACTTGTCATTGTCTCAACAGCCAGTTGGGTATTTTTTCCTGAATCACACTCATGAGACAACACAACTTTGTCAAAGATAAGAAGGAGAAACAAAACAACTACATCGTTGAGTCCAACCAAGCGGCACAGATCCCCTTTAAAACTGTGCGATTCTGGAACATTCAGTTATACTGTACAAATGCTTTGATATATACTGTCATTTAAAAACTAAGGCATGCCAGAAAAAACCACAAACAATCAGGAGCTAACCCCGGGGCAAAAAAAAACAACAAAAAAAAAACTACAAAAATTCCACACATCTGACTGTCAACACCTAAAATGAGGAAGAGAAACAGATTAATTCTGAGGAAACTCCAAGCATCCATGCATGCGTGTGCTGCAAGAAATTCACAGGAACTTCACAGGAGATTATCTGGTAGAAAATTACCTCTCATATAGCCACTATCATTTGACAAAAAAAACAAAAAAAACAAACAAAAAAACCCCACAACAACAACAAAAATTTCCCATTTCCTACTGAGCAACAGTGTAAATAACACCTCGAACAAAGACAGACACAAACACACCTGTCCTGTCCGGAGCTTAAAGTGTGTTGCTAGCCCGTAAGCCGTGTCCATGAAGATTTTGGGAATGCTCATGCCCTCCTCGATGGCCTGCAGCTTGAGCCCCAGCAGGTGGCGGTCAATGCCGTGTCCATTAAGTGCCTGAACAAAAGAGAAATGAAACTCTTGTTTGAGTGTTTTTGAATCAGTTAATCAGCAGCTTAGAGATAAATGTTTTAACATTTATTTAACACTTACCGCTTCAGTCAGAGCCGAGTAGGCATCTACAGCTTCTCTGAACAGCTCCTGCTTTGCTTCCCGCTGCAAACCCCAAAAAATAAACACATTCTCAATCCAAGCTACAAAAATCCTCCAACAGTTCTGTTCCCGTTCAGCGGAACAACTTTCTCACAGGGTTTGTGTTTCTCACCGATACGGACGGATTATCAAAGGCCAGAATGAACTGGAGCCCCTGCTTGGTGGGTGAGCGGATGTACTCGGTCCTTCCTCCTCTAAACATCCTCTGAGAGGCGATATCGCAGGCAGAACAGACTTCACTGTGAACTCTGCAGACAAAAATAAAGCCAATATCAGAGACACAAGGCTGCTAACAGGCAGAGGTGTTCATCTCAAGTAAGTGCTGCACTTTAAAGACAAAGCAGAAAACAAAACGTAATGATTCTCACTCTTGTAGACAATTAGCACATTCAGAATTTACAGAGAACTCAGGCATTACAACCAAGGTATGCAGAAGAGCATCTCTGAACACACAACATGCATTCAGAAGCAGGCAGACTACAGCAGCAGAAGACCAAACCAGGTGCAGGTGCCACTGCTGTTAGCTAAGAGACAGAAACTGAGGCCCCAGTTCACAGGGCCTCACCAAAACTGAACAATAAGATTGGGAAAGTGTTTCCTGGTCTGATGAGTAAATTTCTTCTGCAACATTTGGGTAGTAGGGTCTTAAACAGCATGAAAGGATGGATCCATCCAGTAACAGGAAACTATACCTAATAAAGTGGCTTATCAGTGTAAATCAGTCACTCCAATTACTCCAACAGAGCTCATCCGATCAAGTCCAGGTATCAAACAAGGTGTTAGATTACCAGGTGGACTGGTGTGAGGGAAGAGGAATCTATTTTATGATCGGTCGGTTCACAAAGCAGCTAAATGGGTCAGTTCTGGACATTACCAGTTATTTAATAAAGTAACTTTCCCTCTGTAATGCAACGGGGTTGAAGTAAAAAACTACAAATGCCATCTGATCCAGTCTGACACTAACCACACCACAGCAGGAAATTCTAACAGCAGATTAAAAAAAACAAAAAACAAACAAACAACACACAAAAAAAGAAAAAAGAAAAGAAAAGCAGATTGCTGGCACTGACCTGTAGTAGGCGAGCTGCAGGGCGACCTGGATAAAGGAGTTTGGGCTCATCTGGTGCTGCTTTGGAAGATTCTTGCCAAACTTCTTGAAGTTGAACACATTAACGTCGAGGTCATTGATCAGGCTGCAACAAATTCAGGACAAACATTTGCATTTGTGATGATTTTATGTTTAAATTCAAGGTTCAATTAGCAGCTTTAAATAAGCTTTCAGACAGCAGTGTAGAGAGGAGGTGGGAAATCACTAGATTATGTGACAGAAAGAAAACAAAGTTTACTTCTACCTACTTTGACTCACTTTTTAGACATTTCCATATAATATTTTTAAGTCCTGTTGAACTCTACACTGCACGTAAGAAAAAGCTTTATCCCTCAATCATATTTTGGCATCTGAATGATTTGAGAGAGCTCTGAAATTGCACAGGACCATATAAAAAGCTTGGCATCTGACCAGGACAGCAGTGGATTATGAAGAATGACTTTACAGTTATCCACAGAGGCATTATTTCAATCAAGGTTACATAAACAAAGCGAAGATAAATCTGTTTACACTCCTGTGGCCTTCTTTTAGAGCAAGTTCTCTCCACCTCTGTCAGATTTCAGAGCAAACACAAACATGCAGCTGATGGTGTGCGGAGAGGTCAGCGCGCTGCAGAGCTCAGCTCAGAGTTTAAGTTAAAAAAAAAAAAAAAGAAGTTGGGAGCTTACATGTCGAGGTTCTGCTTGGCGTGCTCGATGTCCCTCTTGATTTCTCGGTCTATGTGAAAGTAAAGCTTCTTTGGCATTGGTAGCGGGAGCAGTGGCGCCCTCTTTGTGTCCGGTTTCTCACTGCAGACAAGAAAAAAAACAAAACACTCAGAGCAGAAACCCCATCATTCTCCACCTCAGCTCAATTTTTCTTGACTAATTCAACACATCTGCAGTTTCGTTCCAACATCTCACCAGTACTCGATCACATGATCCAGCAGCGTCGCTACAGGCGGACCCTCGGCCGTGGCTTGCTCATACAGAAGACCCCACGAGCCGTCCTCGCCTACCACAAACTGTTCAAACACAGACACAAGTCAGCACTCTGCGTCAGCTGCTCTAAACAAGCCATCTCTCGCCATTCATGTGCACATTCCCACCTGAAGCGTTTTGTCAAACCAGCGGTTTCCGCTGTTGGAGAACGTCCCGCCGCCATGAAGGACCTGCGCGGCCTTGCGGCTCGCATACCTGTCAATTAAAGTGGTTGCACAAGCGATTCTTCAAGAGCTCACACGCAGAAAACCACAGAGAGAGTGCACAACATTTAAATGGAGCAATAGCTCAAATACAGGTAGTGATAGCTGTGCAGTGTTTCCAAACCTCCATAAGAAACAATAATATCAGGACAGACAGCATTACTCAACTGATTTAGCAAACACAGAAATACTCAGTGTGTGTGTGTGTGTGTGTGTGTGTGTGTACACATACTTTTCATCTGATATCCTCATGACTGGAGAATCCAGACACAAGGAGAAAAGTCCCGCCTCTATCATCCGCACCGATTCCTGGTTCAGTTTATCTGATACACACAGAGACAGTCTCATTTAAACCCGATCAACTCGTCTCCCACATGTTATTTTTATGATGCCCAACAATTTTTAAAAAAATATCTGAAACACCTGTTGTACCGTTCACATTTTAACCTCCTAGTTTAATTAAACCAATAAAAAAAAAAATTAAATCACACGAGATATTAACAAGTTGATACTTTGAGTATTTCTATTTGATGATTTTAACCTCTCCACTTATTCCTGCTTATTGATTGCTTCTCCTTATTTTCTGTTATGTATTGTTTGTTGGTGCTGCTATCACTAGGATTATTTCCCCATTTGTTTATCGTTTTTATTTTATACTATAGAACACGTTTTCATACTTGTTCTCATACATAATGGTATGTTTATATTTGTATGCACCAAAACAATCTACAACTTCAGTGAAAGCAACGACTAATTGTATCACAGACGTAAAGAAGTCATTGTGGAGGACCTGCTGTTTGTGCGTGGCAGCCAATGAGAAGAAAGCTGCCTTAAGGTTCTCGGATGAGAGGTGAAACGTCTTCAAGCAACTTAAAGAAGTCCAGACGCTTTTCTTTGCAAGCTCCTTTGACTCCTCTTTCTACAGTTCCATCAGGTTTCCAAGTTTGACACAACAATCTCACATTTTTCTGTTTTTGCATTTATGAAGTATTAAAAGGAGTTAAAATAAAAAGAGTCAAACTATTCGACATTATCACTCCTCCTGTCCTTTGCCAGCTCGTACGTTTATTAACATTTCTCCTCTATCAGCTCCTGCACTGTCCGTACACACTCCGCCTCTTCTGTCCCAAACTACTGTTTTATAACTTAATGACTTACTTGAAAATAAAATTTATTCCCTTTCCCACCACAGTATTAAATAAATGAGGATAATTTTGAGCTGTGAATCATGCAAAACTACTTCGGCAGACTCTAAGTATGAAAATAACAAGATGGAAACATAATGAGTCCAACTTTCGGTCATTTTAAGTGTCTGAGAGTTTCGTCCATCACCAACGTTTCAGTTTTTCCAACCAAGACTAATTATTGGGTTTCTGCTGATGCAGGCATAAAACATTTAACACTTAAAACCACTTTGAGAGATGTAATCAGTCCATCATTAAACCGGTGTTATGTCTAAACATGAAGAGTTCTGATCACTGAGCTGCTCCAAGTACACAGCAGCCTCTCCTGTCTCCTATGTGTAGTTAGGTTTCTACAAAGCAGATGATAAAACTACTGAGATGGAGGGTCTCATTATCTAAAATCTATAATGAGGTAAAAATTAGCACATCAGAAAAATAGATGCGAGGGCGTATCCTATGCTACTCTAACACCAGCAAAGCTTCACCAACATCAGGGGATGTTAATCCTACAGTCAGAGATGGCATGAAGACGTTTCTCACATTTTTATTTTCTTAGACTGAGCCATTAACAGATCAGTTTTGTTTGCTCTCTTAAAATAACCGAAACCAGCAGCAGCTTACAGGGAGATAGCAGTCAAGTAGTAAGCATGTGTGGTCATGTGATCTACCTCTCAGCAGGCGGTTGTAAGCCTCTCCCCATGTGTGGCGGTGCTCGCTGGTCAGGATGCCCATTGGCTCCTTGTCCGTCTTCCAAGACTGAGACCTGATCCTGAGCAGCTGCCCGTGGATCTGACTCTCAGTCATCCGCGAGCCATCGCTGTTATAAACCTCCAGCTGGAAGAACTGGGAGTAGGAGGAAAACCATGTCAGTAAGATCAAGGTTTTTAAAAGCAATACAAAACTAAAAGCGGGGGCATCTTTCGATTACTAAGCTGCACTAAGTGCTTTTTATAGTCACAAAAAAACCTTCAAATCCACAGAAACACCAACATTTACAGTTATCAAAAACCAAACAAGTTCAGAGCTGAGACGATAAAATCTGAATTTCTGTTAAGCAGTTTAAGTTCTTTGAGGGTTTTCCTGTTCATCCTCAAAAGTCCATCAGAAAACCGAGGCTCAGTGGACGAGACACTTTCTTTTTTGACAAGTACATTTCTATATATCTAGATCTCGATCGATCGATATCTATCTATCTATATTTATTTCTCACTGCATCATTTTAATCTCTAAGAAAGCACTTTTGGGTTCTGGTTGCTTGTTGTTGGGATTATTAATCTCCATATGAATAAAGTTACACCTCACAGCTGGTTTAGTTTACTCCTTTCTGCAGGCAGCAGTCTCTGAACAGAAAATCTGTGTATGCACACCACTGTCATCAGCGTCACGCCTGACTAGAGGCGGAGCTACTTCCTGCCGGGACTCTCATGTATCCAAGCTGTAGCCTTGCAACATCTCTGACCCCTGACCTGATTGTTCTTGGCTGAGGTGCTGAGACGAGGCGCTCCAGCCTGTGCTGCGCCCCGCCCAGCAGCTGTTTCAGCAGGACGATACCCAGCCCCACACGTGCAGAGCAGCACAGGACTCTCTGGGTCCTGTATTTATATCCAGAGACTTTCTTGGCCAGCGTTTAGTCACACTGTCTCCAACTGAACATTTCTAGGATACTCTGGGTCGACGTGTTCATCAGAGGGCGCCACAACAACACAGCACAGCTGCACTCGTCCATGAAAGGAGAACAATTCCTCGACAGATCAGAGTCCATGCACTGCATCACATTCAGTCATACCTCAGATTAAATGGTGTGCATATACATATAGATTTTAACTTGAGCTACAAAATGTATTTAAAAACACAAACTTGCATTTGTCTTACTAGTATACAATAACTCTGCTTACTGTCATCAGTCCAGAGTGAGATCTGATGTTGTACTTGTGGCTAATAAACCCTGTAGAAACAGACTAAATAACAAACAAGCTATTTCTATCACTTCTCTGCTGCAGCTCCGGCAAACTTGACGCACTGCAAATGAGTCACGCCCTACATCAATTAAAGTCACTTTGGCAGCAGAAGGCCTTTTCAGTAAATCTGTTAACCTTTGAAAAAAACTGAGCCACAACAGGAAGCGCCAGAGGTGAACATCCAGGATATTTTGTTCATTTTGGACGCTGCGTCTTCTGAAAGATGAACAACTTACTAACCTACAATAAAAAGTATAGTAGATGTGAGTATGCAGTAGTCCTTAGTCATTATGAAACACTTTGTGTAGATTTAGTACATCTCATTTCATGCTTTTTTCCTTTCCAGAATCAAACATGTTTTCATGGTTTAAGAATTCCTGTGAAAAAGTAACAGATGTCTGAAATGCTAAGAAGCACGCTTTTAAACACTTCTCTTCCTTTCTCTAATTACCCAACTGAACTCAATGTTAAATCAGACATCTGCTGACTGGTTCTCCACTTATGTGCAGATACTTTACAAACTAAATAAGCTTCTCTTTTAATCAAGATGTAGATGAAATATCCACATACAGCCAGCAATCATTAGCTAAAACAACGATCTCGTGGGATAATGTGCTGCCAGAGTACTCAATGTTCAGAAGAAAGCTTCCTGTACAATCACGTGACTTCTGTTTGCAAAGCTTGGTGTATCAACAATCAACTTGGAGTTTAAGAAACACAAAAAGCAGCTTCAGATGGGACTGCACAAGACTCGACTTGACTGGCAACACAAGAAAAGAACAAAAGAGACTATCTAAATCCCTCCTCTGCCACCTGTCAGGCACCACTCACCTGGTAGTTCCTGACGACAGTGATGTGCGTCGGTGAGCGGCGGGAGCGGCCGTAGTGAGCAATGTAGTCGTGTTTGGGGCCGGGGATCCTGCAGGAGGAGAAGAGGAGCGGGTAGAGCTCCTTGCATAGGGGCTTCCTTCGCATGAACTCGACCGGCAGCTGCCCGCTGACAGACAAAGAGAAACACGTCAGTCGTTATTGTTTTTTTTCCCCCCTTCTTTTCCTTTTGTTTTCTTCGTTCCCCTTTTTTGTTTTTTTCCCAAGTAAGATGAAACCCTCAATCCGCCCCTTCTGCTCAGCCATGTTTTGAACAATGAGCGTATACTTATAGCTGCTGCCTCTTCAAAACAGTCACTTAATGACTGCCTGCACCTACAAAGACATGGGTTACCCTCTTCTTGACTGCACCCTGCACTAGTTAAATACACCGAGGGACAATGAATAACATCTCTGTGCAGGATCGCTGATCACCTCACAACTGTGCAAAGAATAAAGACACCCATCAGTTTTGGACCTGCTCATTGCACAGGACCTCACCTGATAAGACGCTGCACCTGCTGTAGCTCTGTCAGTAGGCAAAGATGCAGACTGTGAAAGTCTACAGACTTCTAACATGTCTCATTAGGACACTGGAGAATCTATCTGATGGCTTATAACTGACTATTTAATTAAAGTAATGTATAACAGACATTGTTAGTGTCCACTC